CTCCTCCTTCCAAAACCAGACCCTTGAAACCGGGGAGCCCCTGCAAAGTTCCTCCAGCAATGTTTCCCTGGAGAAGCTGCCATTTTGAATATTTACAGTTTCACAGTTTTGTACACTTCAGCCATTGCCATTCTTCACCTGGATGTTGTGGCTATTGGCAACATTGGTCGAGCTAAAGAGACCCCCCTCCCGCCTTCCAGGGGGGATTCCGTGGCGTTGTCTTTCTTTCGTGCCATCCAGCCACACCGCAAACAGAAGAGGTTGGCCCATCTCTAGTGATGGATCCCAAAAGCTGGCACTAAGCCAGACGTCAAGGTTACGAAGGTTTTATTGACTTCCAGGCCAGTTTTGGAAGAAAGTTCTGCAGAAGGTTTAGCATTTTGGTGCTTTTTTTTTTTTTGCGTTATGACTAATTTATTGGGATTTCCGCCCATAACGTCCAACTCTAGGATGTTTTCTACTCATCCATGAGAAAACTTGTAGCAGCCGAACAAGCCCATCCAGGTCTGCTGGGAGTCGAGTGACTTCAACTGAGTGAGACATTACCTGGCCTCCTTGTCAGAGTAAAATCTTCAAGAGAGGGCAAAAAAAGTTTACTTGCAGATTGGGAGAGAAAGGAAGTCCAAGAGAGACCTAGACTATCTATCACATGCCTGCTTGATTTCTCCATGAAATTCGCCTTCTGATCGGCTGTGCTAGAAGGTTGTCTCCTGGTTTCTCCCATTTGTCACCATTTGGCTGCTTGAAGTGTGTTTCTCCACCTCACGATGGAGTTACTACCGTACAGTACTTGAAAACCCTGGAGCTTAAGTAGGTTTCTTTGTTGATTGTTGAAAATGTGGTTTATTTTCAGGGCATGGCGGGAAGTTACAATACTCCAATGATCCCTGAAAAATTATCTTACATTGCTTTGAGATGTCCTTTTTCCTCAGGACACTTACAATAATTTCAACATGGCTGTTTTCAAAGTATGCCTTGATCAGTCTGAGCTTCTGAGCTCTCCAGCAAATGTAAAATACTGCCTCTTCCATCTTTAATGGACATTTTCAGGAAAGAGCTCTCTGGCCGTGCTTTTTTATTTCCTCTTTGAGCAGAATTGTAGCAGAAATGAAATTGATTTTTTAAATCACAAAAATGCTAGCAGAGGAAGGCCTTGGAAGATTAGGCCCATTTTTTAAAATCCAAAGTCTCTGAATGTTATGTATTTTTTCATTATGTATTTTTCATTGATTCTAGAGGAGTCAGATCCTGCCTGGCTTATCTCCACTGGTAGCAAGGCCATTCATTCAGTGTTCATTCCCTGCCTTTGCATGGTAAACAGTCCTTCTGAAATGCCTTGCTTCCTTCTCAGATATGGCTCTGTCATCTCAGGGATCTATCTGACAATCCACCATCATGTTGTCAATTCCAGAATTCAATTCCCTGTATAAACAGAGGTAGTCTTCCCTTAATGACCCTAATTTGGGCTTACAAATCTGCTAAGCAAAGCAGTTGCTAAATGGAAAACCATGTGACCAGGACTGCTGGCTGGCTGGGAAGGGACAAAATTATTCAGTTTCACACCTTTGATTTTTGTATACTTCCTAAGCACTGCCTCCTGGCACTGCCCCCTTTGGAACACTCATAAATTCCTTCTTCCAATCTTGTACACATTAAAAGCAAAGCCATGGTGCTGTAGGGGAGGGGGGTTGCAGGAGAGGGGGCTGGGAGCCCTGAGAACTGCCAGTAGTTAGGCAAATAATTGAAGGAAGGAAGGAAGGCCAAGACTGCTTTATTGAGTCAGGCTTAAACAGGCTTCATTGGATCTGTACATTTTTTTCTGACATTGTTAGTAATTAATCAATTCAGTTAGTAATTAATTAATTAGTTCACCATCCTGGCTTGCCAATGACAACTCTGTTTTCAGACAGGAGGGATCAGGATGGGTTTTGAATGGCAATTGAGATAATTGTATTTGAAACTGGATGCTAACACATTGAATACTAAGCCAATTGTGTGGCTTTTCTTTCACCTAATACTGCTGTGGCTGTTGCCACATGGAATCGTTTTGGTGAATGCAACTTTGCATGAACAGCTGGGGAATTCTGGGACTTGAAGTCCACAAGTCTCAAAATTGCCATGTTTGGAGATCCCTGGACTATAGAGTCTCTGGTACAAACTTTTTTGTAACACAGCTTCAGTATGGAGCTATCTTTTTTTATCACCTCCTTTAATAGATTGAAATGACTTTGATTAGTTAAATTGCTCGTTCTTACATTATCAGTGCCAGGTTTGTTTGAAATGTAGACACAGTTGATAAATTGGTTGACTGGGTTCTCGTGGATTACATGAGACTGCAGCTGGTAACTAAAAACGCACGCTTCTCTGAAGCCATTAAGCAGATATGCAGCAGATAGATGTCCAAATTCAGCTGTGGTTGTCATTGCATGTGTGTGTTCAAATGCCACTGGAATCTTTGGGTAAACACAAATATAAGCCAGGGGTGGGTTTCTACCGGTTCTGTCCACCTCTGTAGAACCGGTAGCTCTGAAGAGCAGCATAGAACCAGTTCTTTGTCTGCTGATTTTTTTGGCTACCTGCCCACCCGGGGTCTTACCTGATCTTTATTTCCTGATTTTTTCAACTTCAGCTGCCTTGCGAGGCACAGCTGCAGTTAAAAAAACAAGAAATGAGGGCTGTTTCAAAGGCTGCTTCTGGCCAGGCAGCGTGCTAATGACAGTTAACAGGCTCTGCTCACAGCAGGCAGGGAAGCTCGTAAATCCCGAACCGGTACTTACCCCTGTCATGTCCCACCCCTGATATAAGCCCATTGTTTAGAAGTCCTTATAGTGATTTACTTCACTGATCTTCCAAGATATACAGTTATTTTTAATGATCATGTAATAGGAATTTTCCTTGGAAAATTTTGTTGTGGTTATTTTGTGAATGACATTTTGTTGGCTAAAACAAGCTTAGAAAAGATTTATCTCCTATTTTAATCAGAATACCAAATTATTAATTATCTCTAATTGCTCTTAATATCTCATTGGTCTTAATATCTTAACACCTCTTAATATCTACATTTGTATTTTGTATCTTGTTCTAATTTTAGGACCCATATCACATGTTCATTATGTGCTAATCCAGGGGAGAGGTCATTCTTTTTAGGAGTTATAGAGATCTCCTCAAAGAATAATATAGTCACTTGATAAATTGATTTATATAAGATCTAACCAGATGTTGAGGGTGTAGAGTGGCTGGCTCCTTTAGAAGAAGACTATCTCTACCGTAACCACAGTGTAGAATAATTCCTCTAAACTAGACTTACTCATTGTAAGTCAAGGAGACTGATGTGAGAAAGTTGCCATCAGATACCATGTGAAGCCTCTTATCTTGTACAAGTGATTCACCTACCTTAAAGACTTTTCTTGAATAAAAAACAAATATCAGAATTGGGTTTCAGGCACTAGGTCTCATAAACTGAAATGGATCACTCAGACCCAGGAATCTTATTGCTACATTATTACATATTATTATCCTTTAGGTTTCCTTTGGCATCGCCTTGCTGCAATGTCCAAAGTTGTGAAGATTTTACCTGTCTGAATAATGTGAAAAAGAAGAATTGCATTTCAAAACTTCTTCCTGTTCTTTATTTTATATTGAGTGTAAATGATTAGTGTTTAGAAGACTACTGTAGTGATACAGACTCTCTATGAAATGAATGTTTTTTAAGCAATGAGAATTTGTTTTGCAACTGTACTGTGGAAAAAACAGCGCTGAATGAAATCTGTTTTTCCTGTTTCACAAAATCTCCTGTAAAGAGGTCATCGTTTGTCTACCTCACTCATAATACTTATTCTCAACGAAGTAAACACAAAGGTAAAATATTGTTGATTTACAAGCTTGGAATCAATAGATTTTTGAAAATTCAGTCACAGCACAGCTTAGAAATTTGGTGTTTGCTTTTCCCAGTCAACAGCACTGGAAAACTGTCGGCTGTCAAACAATATCAAAGATTTTCATTTGTGGTTTTAAAAGTTTTATTTATTTTCATACTATCAGAAATACTAACAAACTGGAAATAGAAGCATTTCAAAGTAATTGAAATTTATTTGTGTTTAGTTTTAGTTTTCATTTGTAATAAATCCCAACTGATGATAGAAACTTTTATTATTTGTAAAAGAAAGTTGTTTCCAAAACAGGAAAAAAGTAGGGACATCTTTGGGAATTCAAAGAGTTCCTGCTTCTTTGCATTTATTTATTTCGAGGGTGAAATACCTCATGTATTTTTTGTATGTATTAATTTTCCTGTAATTCTAAATACCACTATTATTTTAACAGCAATTTCAGGTTCCTTTATTTTGAAGGGAACAATTATCCATGTGAAACGTTTTGTACTTGTAGTGAAAAGAAATAAAAATTATGCCTCCCTGTAAATACTCTCCATGCTGTGCCTCAGTATCACATTAACATCCTTATGGCTAGTTCTCGGTTTATAGCCATTGACCACTTGAAGTTCAGGTGTCATCTCCATTTATAAACCTTCCCAGCTGGCTGCCCACAAGCAAAGTCAATGGAAGTAGCCAGATTCGCTTAATGGCAGCGTGATTCTTTTAACAACTGGGACAAAAAGGTCGTAAAGTGGGGCGAATCTCACTCCGCATCTGCCTTGTTATCAATCGCGGTCGTAAGTCGAGGACCAGCGAAGAGAGTGGTGATGGTGGTTGGTGGCTTTCTAGCCTGATCCCGAGCAGCCCGGGTGGCGCAAGGCCGCTGAGCGGCTGGCCGACCCGCAGCTAGGCCTCTGGGCAGCGCTTCTCTCGCCGGGCCGACCGGGGAGCGAAGAGAGAGAAGCCTTTCAGGGGACGAAGCGCGAGGAGTCCCCGGAGTTCCCTCGGCTTTGCGTGATGACGTCACACCCCGCCCCCGGGGGGCCTCCATCGGCCTGCGTCAGGAGGAACCCCTGCCGAGTGATGTCATCGCGGCGCCGTCGCGCGGCGATGACGCCATCTCCACGTCGCCCGTCCACAGCCTCGGATCAAGATGGCGGCGGCGGCGGATGGAGAGCCGGCGGCGGGCGACGGAGCCACGAAGCCGCTGGTAGGAGGGGCGGCGGGCTGTTCCGAGGGCGAGCTCGGGACCCCCAGGGCTGCGAGGCAGAGAACCCAGGCAGAGAGCTCCGAGGAGGAGGAGGAAGCGTCGCCCGAGGCTCCGGGTGCAGCGCCGCTGATTAGGCGTTGGGGCTCGAAGGGACTGGTTGTGCCGGTGGGAGGCTGAGCCTCCGGTCAGCGCCTACCTTCCTCTACGACCTTGTAGGTTTGCCCAGGATAGCGTTGAAGAGCAGTAGCCCTTAGCCTTTCTACAGCCCTGGTCTCTCTCCCGCCCCCCCCCCCCCCCCCCCCCCAACACTCTGGGTCTCCTCATTTCCCCCACCTCGGAAGGGTGGAAGGCTGAGTCAACCTTGACCCGGTCAGGATCGAGCTGCTGGCAGTGGGCAGAGTTTGTCTGCAATGCTGCATTCTGCACAACCCCATCCTTCCTTCCTTCCTTCCATTCACACTTCTACACCTTTTACATTCCTGGTCTCTGAGCGGTTTACAGATTCAGCCTGTTGCCCCCAACAATCTGGATCCTCGTTTTAGGTACAGTCATTTGTACAGTCAACCTCATTTCGTTGCACCCGCTTGCGAGTGTAATGACAAATAAAATTCTTATGTCTTATGTCTTATAGTAGTTTCCTTCTATCTTTGGAAAATAGCTGGAGAACAGTCTAGTGCACAGAGCTTCCTAAATAGGATGTTAAGATTTGATGTATCTTTAATTCTGAGACAAATCAGTCCTCTCCCCAAAATCTTGTAATTATTTTAGAATAGAATAGAATAAGAATAAAATAGCTTATTGGCCAAGGGTGGTTGGACACACAAGGAATTTGTCTTTGGTGCATCAGCTCTCAGTGTCCATAAAAGAAAAGATACATTTGTCAAGAGTCGAGAATCATCAGGTACAACACTTAATAATAATAGTCATGGGTTACAATAAGCAATCAAATCATACTAGGAAACAGTACAAATTGTAAGGATACAAGCGACAAAGGTACAGTCATACAGTCACAAGTGGGAGGGGGGTGATAAGGAGTGACGAGAAGATTAATAGCAATAGTAGTGCAGACTTTGTAAATAGTTGGACAGTGTAGAGGGAATTAGTTGTTTAGCAGAGAAAAAACTTGTGTCTAGTAGTTCTGGTGTGCAGGGCTCTATAGCGTCATTTTGAGGGAAGGAGTTGAAACAGACAATGTGAGGGATCTGTAAATATTTTCACAGCCCTCTTTTTGACTAGTGCAGTATACAGGTCCTCTATGGAAGGGAGGTTGGTAGTAATTGTTTTTTCTGCAGTCCTAATTACTCTCTGAAGTCTGTGTCTCTCCTGTTGGGTTGCAGAGCCAAACCAGACAGTTATACAGGTGCAGATGACAGACCCAATAATTCCTCTGTAGAACTGGATCAGCAGCTCCTTGGGCAGTTTGAGCTTTCTGAGTTGGCTGAGTTTTGCTGATGATCCTGGTTAAAAAGATATGCCACAAATATAGACATATTGAAAGAGTAAAGTTTGGCTTGTAAAGTTGCACACGTTTTGCTGTTCTCCAACACATTTAGAAAGGAAGAAGTTGTTTCCAGTATGGTTCTCAAAATAGGATTTAAAAATGTGCAATAAAATGATTGCTTAGGCCCCTGGTAGTCCTTGACTTACGTTCATTTAGTGACTGTTCAAAGTTACAACAGCACTGAAAATAGTGACGACCGTTTTTCACAGTTACAACTTTTGCAGCATCCCCATGGTCACATGGTCAAAATTCAGATGCTTGGCAACTAGTTCATATTTATGACAGTTGATGTGTCCCAGGGTCATGGGATCACCTTTTACAATTTCCTGACAAGCAAAGTCAATGGGGAAACCGGATTCACTTAACAACCAGGTTACGAACTTAACAACTGCAGAGATTCACTCAATAATTGTGGCAAGAAATTCGTAAAATGGGGCAAAACTCACTTAACAAATGTCTCCCAGCAAACAGAAATTTTGGGCTCTATTGTGTTGTAAGTCAAGGACTGCCTGTATTTAATAATAGAACTAAACTCAGCCCATTGCTACAAGGTACATGTACAAAATCCAGTTATCTCTGATCATTTTGTTGCAGCTGTACATCTAGTCCCATTGCCCTTCCATGAAGGGTGAATATTAATATAGAGTCTCCTTAAGTGGGTTTGGCCTATTCGTGTCCCTCTCTGTGTTATGTGGGCGAGAGTGAATGCCTGAATTTAGATATGAAAAGTAGTGAGTGCAAAAACCATCCTGAAATCCAAGCATTCGGATACCAGAATGGCTGTTTCGTCAGCATTCAGACTTGTTTTAGATCCATTCCAACTGTGAAATGAAGGTCACTTCAGGACAGTTCATGTTTGGGATGCTTAAACATCTGAATATTCTGCATGTTTCTGGTTATATATTACATTATCTGGGATTGATCAGGTACAAAAATATTTTCAAATGCAAATGCTCCTGCTGTGCTATTTATTAATTGCTTGGTAGATATGTTGAGTAAATATGTTTTCAAACCTTGTGTAAACAGTTTGCAGGTCTTGCAAATGTGTCAATATCAGAAGACATTCCTGTAGAAGGAGAAATTACTGTTCCTGTGGGCTCTGATACCCCAGACGAAGACTATTCCACGTTAGATGAACCAGTAAAAGAGACCGTTGTAAGTACCTTGGTGAAGAGAAGAGATTTCCGTCAGACTTCTCTTAGTGTTCTTGGCAATAAATTGCAAAAATAAGCCATCCGAGGATATCAACATTGGATGATTTTGATTAATCAGTTTATTAATGAATAATATTAATGAAGCCATTACAAAAGAGCTTCAGTTGCTTTGTGTCGGATTCTGGTTACAATTATTTTTTGTATGTTTTTTCTGCTATCTGCATTAATTGGTCTCTCATAAGCAATGTTTATTTAGTACTAAAACCATTTTCAAATTCAGTACAGTATTCCAAGAAATCGCAAGTCTGTTGAGTCAGCTTTCGGAATTGGGATTTCCTGGAATATTGTATTGAGTTTGAAGATGTATTTGGATATTATTAATTACTGTAATTTAAGAGTTTAAAAGTAATTCATTTGAGGTATGAATCCTTGTAATGAACCACTTAGTTTGCAGGATTGAATAAGAAGCTGGGTAGTGAAATCCCCTTTGATCAACATTGGAATTAGTAGGTTTAAATTTTTACCAGCACTAGAAACAAGAAAAGAGAAAGTCAATCACTTCAATTAGCATTGGTGTGACTTATGTAAATGTATCTTACCTAAACTTATTTTTGACTGAATTTTCATTGAATTTTTCAGATGCGGGATTTAAAAGCAGTTGGAAAGAAATTTGTCCATGTCATGTATCCCAAAAAAAGCAGCGCCCTCCTCAGAGACTGTAGGTGCCAGAAATGTTGAAAACCTTAAACTGTGCTAAATTCTGTGAAAACATACTTGCCTCAGAATAGAGAGTAACACAAGAGGGAGGGAGAACTTTGAAATAGCCATTTGGGGTTGTCAGTTTTGTGTTCCCTTGTGGAAATCATCTGTATGATTTATTTCTTTGCAGGGGATTTATGGGGTCCATTAATCCTGTGTGTTTTACTTGCACTGTAAGTACTTATATTATTTCCCCCTCCTCCCCACACTTTAATGCTCTAAAATTGTGTTGTTCACTTGCAAAATATAAATGCAACACAGCAGTTGTACCTATTACAAATTCCAACAGAGCATCATTTCAAGGACCAAATGTATGGGCTTGGTTTAATAAACATGCATATGAATCTTGAAATCTGTACATTGCGTAAGAGCCTGCACTTCACTGTTTCTGTGCTGAACAATCACAGATCTTACAACCCACCTTTCCTTTATAAATGTACCCCACCAGTTTTTAAGTTTCTTCTGTGCTAATGGCCTTAGGCCAAGGGATGGGACAGTCAAGTGGAACAAGGCTGCTTCTGCCACAGTTTTTATTCAGTGCTTCTGTCTCACATTTCTTATCTGAGAAGAAGACCTAGATCATCACAGAGAGAAATAAAAGAGTGCCACAATAGTAAACAAAAATTATTTCCTTTAATAGATTATAATACCATTGTCTGATCAGATTGCTAAAACATTCTCAGGTGTCTGGATACTTACTCCAGGACAGTCCAGCTCAGCTGCAGTGGGTTGTCCCAATTCTAGCCTACAGGCACTAATACATTTTGAAACAGGAAAGAGAAACCCTAATAATTAAATCAGAAAAGAGGTATCTGTTTCTTTGTCCTAATCCATTTCTCTTCCCTAGAATGCTTCAGGGAGGAGCGGCAGATAGCACAGAAGACAGAGGCCCTCAGTTTGCAGAAGTCTTTGTTATCATCTGGTTTGGAGCAGTTGTCATAACGCTAAATTCCAAGCTCCTGGGAGGAACCATGTAAGAGACCGCTAGAGCTGTCTTCTGAGGCGGGGGAAGAATTGGACTTCCTTGGTGAATCGCTTTAATTCAAGGACAGACAGTTTTTGCCTTAGGGTGATAGAGGCATACCTGACTGGGGCAATTTCAGGTCTTGGGAAGTAGGCTGTTTTTACTTAGAATGTTTTTTTAAAAAATATTTTTTTTATTTTTTAATAACAAGCATAAGCATACATAACAAAATAAACATAAACATAACACAAAAAACATAAAAATATCCTTCTTCATAAATTTACATACAGTGCATCGATTGGTTTACCACTTTTTTTTGTGCATCCATTTCCTAGTCACTAGTATAATTATATTACATAATAGCTCATATTATCAATAATTATATAACCTAATATCATCACTAAAAAAAAATCATTTAGAATTTTGTTAATTCATATTTTAACGAGATAACTATAATTTGCTTAATTTATTTTGCAATAAATCATAAGATCATACCAAATCTACCTTGATAATGTTTTATAAAGATAATTTCTTTTCTTTTCTTATCTTTTCTTTTTTTTACTTAGAATGTTTTTATCTTGAAGCTCTTAAGGTACTGTGGGGGTTATTGAAAGCAAGTTACCCTTGTTGTTTAAAAAGCCACTATAGACCCGTAGCATGCTCTTTGGGGGCTCTGGAGGCCCAAGAGATACAAATTGGGGCATCCCTATGACCTTAGGATGCTGCCCTTTTAAACCAAGAGTGCAGACTGCTTTAGATAGCCTATGTTATGCTAATTTAAACATCTTAATTTTTAAAACAGCCTTCAAACATTTTAATCTTAAAAATTTTACTTTCTTGCTACTAGCTTGCTCATCAAGGAGAAAGCTGAAACAGTTGGCTTTGTGAAAACTTTCTAAAATCTTCTAATGCCAGGCGGGCGGATAGCAGACCGCTTAGGGCCCATTTGGTCTGGCTGTAGTTCTATAGTTCTGTTTTTCTCTCCCATCTCTTCACGTTGCCAGCATTTACCAAGACTTCTCTCTTTTCCACCCAGTTCTTTCTTTCAGAGCCTTTGTGTCCTGGGCTACTGCATCCTGCCCCTCACCGTGGCTCTTTTGGTCTGCAGGCTTGTACTGATAGCAAACAGTGGGACTGTTGGCTTCATTGTGCGTCTTTTAGTCGTAATAACAATGTTTGGCTGGTCAACTCTAGGTAAGTTGGGAATGGGAAACAGTCAGAACTATCTCAGCGCATGGGAACGAGGATCATTGGGTCATTCCTGGGTTCCATCCGCATGTCATAATCCCAGCACTTACGTTGATCAGAATTTTGCGGGTTGCGTTACAAGTTTTGTTTAAAAAAACAGGAGCAGCCGGAAATGAATTCACCAACACTGGAGCATATGCAGTGCAGGAGAGCTGTGTTGGTTTATAGTAGCTAGAAATTGGAAAGAGTCCAATAGCCCCTTTCCTGACTAATGTTATTAAAAGGCACAAAGTTTTGGGAGCTATAACTCACTTCACCAAATGCATGAAATGGATGACTTAGATTGGGGTCTGGTGGAGGTGCAGAAAGGAGGGGAAGGCGGATGGTTATGCAGATTACAGACAAGCAGTGAAGGAGCAAACAACAATCACAGAACACCAAGAAGGAAACCATATCCCCACAAAAACTGGCCAGGCAAGCTACTTTATATAACCAGTCAGAAAATCCCACATTTGTTCATACTGATGATGTTACTTAGCTGGGAAATAAAATGTCTGCAAGGAGACAGCCAAGCTTGGAGAACACCAAAGACTTCTGGACGAACTTTGGACAAGAGAAGTAATGAAAAAAGTTTGACATGAGGATTCAAACTAAAGTAACATCTGAGCATTTCTGCCTCCCAAGATAGTCTTGAAGGTCTCAGAGCATCTTTTTGGGGTGGGAAAAAAAGAGGTGCTATCAGTCTTCTAATTTTTAACGCTATTGCCCTTGGGACGTCTTGAGGCTTTGTTTCCAAAAAGTCTGCCCTTGTCTTGGGCAGAATTAATCTTTGGGATCAAGTATTCTATGGACTTGGGGTCTTATTTATATTTCCTGATATGAGTAAATAATGTTAATTCAATAATAAAAGGAAATTTATACCTTACTTGCTTTCTATTAGTATTAATTAGATTATCCGGATTATGATTTTGTATTCATATTTCCATCCTATTTGACTTGCTGAAATTTTAGAAGCACAATTCCTTTGGGGGAGTTTTTCAGTCTAAAAGAGGAGGGGCGCTATAGATCAGGGATGAACCGCTTTTTCACTTGAGGTCTACCTGGATGGCCAAGCTGGGCTGGACGGAGGCACAGAGCCATTTTCCTCCGGCGTTTCCATCTTGTCATCTCTTCTCTTTGCTCTTCTATTTTCAAGCAGGATTGCAAGGAGAAAAACAGCCGAGTTCAGGTTTTTTCCCAACAATCCCTTGCAAATAGCTGCTTCCGACTGCAATTGGAATACGTGTACCTGTTTTTTGTTTAAATAGATTTTTATTTTAATGGACCGGCACCCTCAGCGGTGTAAGAATAATCCAGATTGTTTTACATACAGTATCTTATTCTAAAAACATTTTTTCTGTTTTTGCTTTTGGAAGCTTTCCCTAGTTGTTAAATTTATGAAGGAAACCAAGGTGTCTACTGTACGTAATAACCCTGCCGTTTCTGGGGGATCTCTGGGTGGCTTCTACAGGAGCCTTATTTTATTCCTGCAGCCACTTTGGGAGGCAGGCTGGGCCAAGAGGGTCACCCTTCAGCTTTCTAAGGCTGAGGGGCCACTTCAGCACTGACCCACCTTTAGTCAGTACATCACATCGGTTTTCAAAATTAATTAAAATTGCACAAGAATCAGTATTCCAGTAGAAAGCTGAACACTTGATTTATTTACAGCCTTTTTATTTGGCTTTTGTAATGATGATCTCAGTTAGTCTAGGCATCAGCTAGAAAGCGGGTTTTGAGCTCAGGTCCTGCCTTGGCCACGAAAGCCGGCTGGGTGGCCTTGAGCCAGTCCCTCCCTCTCAGCTCAACTCACCTCACAGGGTTGCTTTTGTGGGGAAGATAGGAGGAGGAAGATGTGTTAGGTATGTTTGCTGCCTTGATTTATTTGTAAAAATAATAAAGGCAAGATGCAAATAAATAAAAAAATAAAACAATTATTGTTTCCCAAGTTGGCTCTTGCCATTTCCGTGAGGTGTAGAGTAGCTTAAATTTGAGAAGTCAGGAATCCTCATGGTGAGGCTGCGCTCCAAGTGGGCCCGGCTTTCCTTCCTGGAGTGTGGAGACCAGCCTTTCATCCGTGCTGCCGTAGCCATTGGGGGGGGTGCCTTTCTGCTTGCCCCCCACCCCACCCCCCACCCCCTTGGCCAAGCTGATTAAGCTGTTCTGGGCCCGATCCAAGCATTAGTTTGTACTGTCCCTTGGGGAGGGAAGAGGTGGGGGCTGGCAAGGAGCCATGTCTCTTTTTGGATACAGATGTGAGGCTGATATTTTTGGATGGGTTATATTCCTGGTGCCTATTTTTCCAACATTTGATCTTCCTTGTTTCTTTTCCCAGCCTCTACAGCCTTCCTGGCAGACAGCCAACCCCCAAACCGCAAAGCTCTGGTCGTCTACCCCATTTTCCTTTTCTACTTCGTCATCAGTTGGATGATTCTCACCTTTACGCCGTAGTGAAGGCGCTGTCCGCAAAGACGACAAAACCGAATGAAGGTGTTTTTGTTGCTTTCCAATGAAAACCTCCCTCTGTGGTTCACCTGCCTGCCTCTTGCTCTGTTTCTTCCGATATTTATAATGAATGTTGTGAAAAGGCTGGCAGGCTCCTCGTCTGAAACCACAGAAGGCCTCAAACTCTCTCACTCCTGTTTCTTTGAAGAGCACCACTGATGTCTCTCCCTACTGAGTTCTGTTTTCTACAGATTCTGTGTGAGCCTTCAGTAAGGAGAAAGGCTGGGTGTAGTCGTATCTTGGGCCATCAAGATAGTTGACAAAATAAAATACTGACTATGTACTCTTGATTGGATTTATCAGAAGGCCGCAGTTCTTTAGGAGAATACTGTCTTACAGTTTCAAAACATTTGCTTTCTTGGGATGGGAAATGCCATCCAATTCCACTTACTGTCCAAAAACTAAAAGGAAAGGGTGCAAGAAAGGGGCATTGTCTTTTTCTTTTCTTTTTTTAGTGTTTTCATCCATTTTTAATTGTTCAAATTAGCGCACTCTCTTCGTTCCCTGTGCATGGGTTCAAAAGGTCTTGAGGAAGAAAGGCAAGAATAAAGCCATTTGGCCCACATCAGCCACAAGAGATCTTGGATCTCTCTCTAATGCAGGAGGGAAAAAAAGTTGCACTAGAGTAATCAGCAGTTAAGTGTAGAAATGCCGAGCGATTCTGACACGGGAGATCTTGATTCTGGAAACATGAAACACAAAGTTCAACTTCCGTCCCTCTGGAGCCTGGTCATCAGAAAGGATTTCAGCTGTATCAGACCTGGCACCCAGCTCCGTGTCTTGCAGGGATGGTTGGTCCTGTAGAATGACTTGTGAAAGGGGCTACGGGCTTTCTGAGTTCTGGCTTTTTAATTATAAAATGAGGAAACGTATTTAAGTAGCATTCTGTACTTTCTGGGTTCTGCACATTTACATCCATTGTGAAGCCTCTGGAAGAAGCTGCTCTTGAAACCGAATTCTTTGTTCTTGTCTAGTGAGAAGTGGGCAGTAGCTGACAGCTTAGTGATACACAGTTTAATTTACACGGTGTAATACCTTATTTTATATTATTATATTAGTTGTTAAATTAAGTTTATTTTGTTGCATACTTGTTGGGGTTTTGAAGAGTGAAAACTGTTCTATATAATATATAAATTGCTTCTTTGTGCTTCTTACTGAATATCTGGAGTTTTTTTTTCTTTATTATGGGCTTTACATGCCCCTTTTTATTTTCTCCTAAAATTCCAGTTATTGGGCTTTTGTTTCTGTCGATTAAATAAAGTCTGGGATAAATGGCTTTGTTCTTGCTCTGTTTGGCATCAAATGTAGAAAAGAGCAAGCTGATATGGAATATTTCTATTCAAATGTGTCTATGGGGAGACCTCTTTTAAGGTTATGCTTAAGGTCTACTTATAACAACCTGAACTTAAATAATCTCCGTGTAAGGAAAGTTCATTTTAAAATACTTGCTGTTTTCCAGAGGAATTTAAGAAAAGGATCCTTTAAAATTAATCTTCCTTGTGAAATTTTATTTCACATATCATTCTAACTGGACGCAAATGTCAACTTTCTCTTGACCAATAATTATTCCAGGTTTGGCCTGGAAATAAAACTTTACATGGTAATTTAGAGGTGAGATGGGCAGGATAAACATTTAACAAATAAAGTTTTCTTTTGAATCAGACTTAATTCACTCATTTTGTGTGTGTCAACTACAAGGTAATTGAATAAGTTTGCTGAAAAGGAAATATCTTGGTCAAAACCAGAGGTAAGGATCCTGCTTTCATTTATTTTTTTGACAGCAGCATCTTAAGCCGGTGTCAGCCCTAAAGCTGGCCTGACTGAGGTCATCTTGGAAGCTTCAGTGTTGCCACAATGGTGCTAAGAGATAGGGAGCGGGGAATAGAGATAGCAATAGCAATAGTACTTAGACTTATATACCGCTTTATAGTGCTTTACAGCCCTCTCTAAGCAGTTTACAGAGTCGGCCTCTTGTCCCCAATAATCTGGGTCCTCATTTTACCCACCTTGGAAGGAGGGAAGGCTGAGTCAACCTTGAGCTTGGTGGGATTTGAACAGCTACAGTAAGTAGAGGTGGCCTGCGGTATAGCACTCTAACCTCTGCGCCACAGAGGCTCATAGCTGCGGTTTTGTAGCCAAAACAAAATAGTTTTCCCTGAGAACCAAGGACATTCCCACAGGTGGCTAAAGAGAGGAGTGAAGTTTCTAAGCAACTGGACCGTACCGTGATTGGACCATGTGACTGACTGGGAAAGGGGGAATAACTTTTAATTAGGTGAAAACCGTGGGAACCTTTAGAGTCAGTTTTCACGTGTCTGTGCCAATATGATCCGTCCAATGAACCTGTTCCTGGAGGAACCTACTTGCCTCAGAGTTCTGCTTACTGTGGGCGATTACTTGGAAACCTGACGGCCCGTTTGGTTGCTTGACAATATCTCCAGTCCCCAACATTAGGACAACCGGTTGTAGAAAGGGGAGCTGGTGTCACTCTTCTGACTTGAACCCCAGCTTTTAAAGGGAGTTGCCTGGCCGAAGAATATTGTTCTGTAGGCTCTGGATGAGAGAGACGTTTATAGGTGATCATTTAGAGGTGAGACAATATGCTATCTCTAAAAGCAGCCAATTAACCGGAAACAAAATAAGTTATTGGATGTAATTAGTCCCACCCCTTTTGATAACATGCGTCATGTAATGAGGTGTGGTGTTTTACATGCTTATTACACTGGTTCAGTGGTGGGATTCCAATTTTTTTTCCTACCGATTCTGTGGGCATGAGTTGGTCGGCGTGGCAGGGGAAGGAGACTGTAAAATCTCCAATTAGAGGCGGGACTGGCCGGTTCTCTGAACTACTCAAAATTTCCTCTACCGGTTCTCCAGAACTGGTCAGAATCTGCTTGAACGCCACCTCTGCACCAGTTTGTACCTTTTTTTCTTATTTTTCTTCTAACATTTCGCTAAGAAATGTGAGGTATGATGTTAACTAGTTCGTATTTGCAATATGTTTCAGTTACTCTGATGAGACTTACAGAGTTTTCTTTTTTTAATTTACCTTTTCCTGGCTAGATAGCAGTCTGTCTTTTCTCCAATAACACAGATGCTTCTTTACACATAGCAAATTCTCTGCTCTGGTGACTGATTTTTGTAATAAGTCCCCCCACCCACCCGCAATATTGAGGTTCAAAAAAGCAGCAGTAAACGTTATGCTTGTGATGGAGAACCTATGACACGTGTGCTGGAAATGGCATGATTTCTGCCACCACATGAGACATCGCCCAGACAGTTTCACTGCGCATGTGCACACGCCTCCCTCCAGCAAGCTGATTGTTGGGTATCTGCTGTGCATGGACAGGGCGCATGTGGGAGAGGCACACACATGCACGGGCAGGGAGCATGGGGGGCATGCACGCATGCACAGGGGCGCAGGGGAGCACATGCATTGCATTATGAGTATAGGGACTCGTCACGCAACGATGAAAAGGTTAGCTATCACTGATGTCGATTGGTTTGGAAGAAGGGCAACATTTGGGGGTTTCATACTTTTTAGGGGTGTTCTTAACAATCTGTCATATCTACAAATTGCTCACCATCTTGTGCTGCACACAAAAGAGGCCGATTAATACAGTTAATATTGGAGTTGTAGACAATATAATTGCCGATGTTTGCATTGGGGCAGGGCATAATACATATTAATTGTTTCATTGTTTTATAAATTAACATGCTGACAGGAATATGTGGTGTACATCTATATTATGTAGCTCACAAAAACTTCCAACTGTCATTTCCAATTCTTGTACCAAATTTTAAAATGTTATGTAAATATCTAAACCTGTGATATGAATAGGGCCTTTGATTGGCTCACAGCTTTGGAATTGAAAAGTTTTGCTGATATTTGCAGACTGCTTTTTAATAAAATACAGATAGTCCTCAACTTACGGCCACAATTGAGCCCAAAATGTTTGTTGTTAAGTGAATCACTGCAGGTGTTAAATTAGGAATACATGAATCTGGCTTCCCCGTTGACTTTGCTTGTCAGAAGGTTGCAAAGGGGGATCACTGCAACCGTCATAAATATGGACTTTGATCACGTGACCCATGGGAACGCTGCATCTGTCATAAGTGAAAAATGGTCACAAGTCACTTTTTTCATTGTTGTAACTTTGTACAGTCTCTAAATGAACTGTTGTAAGTCAAGGACTACCTGTAAACTACAGGTAGGAATGATGCATTTCTAAGAAATTTTGAAATTGCAGGATGCTATATTTTATCCGAGATGGAAGGACAGGTTTTGGATGAAACTGACATATATTTAATAAATTGTCAAGCCTAGCCTTTCATTGTTTCAATATAAAGTGCATCATTTTCAAGATTTCTATATTATATACTAGAGGAATATTTATATACACTGCTCAAAAAAGTAAAGGGAACACTTAAACAACGAAATGTAACTCCAAGTCAATCACACTTCTGTGAAATCAAACTGTCCAATTAGGTAGCAACACTGATTGACAATCAATTTCACATGCTGTTATGCAAATGGAATAGACAACAGGTGGAAAGCAGAGGCAGGTAGCAAGACATCCCCAATAAAGGAGTGGTTCTGCAGGTGGTGACCACCGACCACTTCTCAGTTCCTTTGCTTTCTGGCTGATGGTTTGGTCGCTTTTCAATGCTGGCGGTGCTTTCACTCTAGTGGTAGCATGAGATGGAGTCTACAACCCACACAAGTGGTTCAGGTAGTGCAGCTCATCCAGGATGGCACATCAGTGCGAGCTGCGGCAAGAAGGTTTGCTGTGTCTGTCAGTGTAGTGTCCAGAGGATGGAGACGCTACCAGGAGACAGGCCAGTACATCAGGACACCTGGAGGAGGCTGTAGGAGGGCAACAACCCAGCATCAGGACCGCTACCTCCACCTTTGTGCAAGGAGGGACAGGAGGAGCACTGCCAGAGCCCTGCAAAATGACCTCCAGTGGGCCACAAACATGCATGTGGCTGCTCAAACAGTCAGAAACAGACTCCATGAGGTGGTATGAGGGCCCAACGTCCACAGGTGGGGGTTGTGCTTACAGCCCAACACTGTGCAGGCCGTTTGGCATTTGCCAGAGAACACCAAGATTGGGAAATTCGCCACTGGCCCCCTGTGCTCTTCACAGTTGAAAGCAGGTTCACACTGAGCACATGTGACAGATGTGACAGGGTCTGGAGACACCGTGGAGAACGTTCTGATGCCTGCAACATCCACCAGCATGACTGGTTTGGCAGTGGGTCAGTAATGATGTGGGGTGGCATTTCTTTAGGGGGCCGCACAGCCCTCCATATGCTCGCCAGAGGTAGCCTGACTGCCATTAGGTACCGAGATGAGATCCTCAGACCCCTTGTGAGACCATATGCTGGTGCGGTTGGCCCTGGGTTCCTCCTAATGCAAGACAATGCTGGACCTTGTGTGGCTGGAGTGTGTCAGCAGTTCCTGCAAGACGAAGGCATTGATGCTATGGACTGGCCCGCCCGTTCCCCAGACCTGAATCCAATTGAGCACATCTGGGACATCATGTCTCGCTCCATCCACCATCCACCAGTCTGTTGCACTACAGACTGTCCAGGAATTGGGGGATGCTTTAGTCCAGGTGTGGGAGGAGATCCCTCAGGAGACCATCCACCACCTCATCAGGAGCATGCCCAGGTGTTGTAGGGAGGTCATACAGGCACATGGAGGCCACACACACTACTGAGCCTCATTTTGACTTGTTTTAAGAACATTACATCAAAGTTGGATCAGCCTGTAGTGTTTTTTCCACTTTAATTTTGAGTGTAACTCCAAATCCAGACCTCCATGGGTTACTCAATTTGATTTCCATTGATAATTTTTGTGGGATTTTGTTGTCAGCACATTCAACTATATAATGAATGAAGTATTTAATAAGAATATTTCATTCATTCAGATCTAGGATGTCTTATTTTTGTGTTCCCTTTATTTTTTTGAGCAGTGTACTTAGTATGAATAAATTATTTTTCAAAAACTAATCATACATGTACAGTAAAATATTTTGAAAGCCCTTCAGGCAAGTTGCATAAAACACTTTTTATCTGAAATCATGAGGAAGCACGGGCTTTGTGCAGATTCTACAAGTCCATGCTAAACTTCCATTAACTGTAGAGGTTTAC